TATCAAGACCAGAAACGATCCGAAGTCATATAACCACACTTGGAATTGCTGGTGTAGGAAGTCTCCTGGACTAGAGAAAACACGCTCTAAAAGTTGTCCGCTTAACTCAAATCGTCAGAGATCTGAATGACATGCATACCTGGTATACGAGCAAACGCGGTTTGGCAACTGCTGGGTTCTGATCAGACATCGAACAGCTTGAGGGAAATTTCCCCTATTCGAAGATTCAAGCCTCGATATTGTTGGGTCAATGGGCTCTGCGGTTTGTAGCGAAGGGGAGTGGGTAGTGGACCGGGTCTTTGAGCACTGTTTTGCTTCAAGGAGATACTTCTCTCTGATCCGCGACTGAGGCATTTGATTTGGAATCAGTGGCTATGTTCTCAAAGCCCCTAAACTCTCGCGAAGGATTGTCTATTCGACTCGATGGCCTCAGCCTGACCTAAATCCCGTCGTTCGACTCGCTCGGAACGAGTTATTACTAAGATTTCCCCGACAGCCGACCACTGTGCCTACGGAATGTAAGCAAAAAGTGTCGAACGCAAACTTGAAGGTCTGTTCCGTTTGAAAGTTTCACGTCGGAAAAAAAAATAGCATTTCTCTCGTACATAGATTCATTTCTTGCGAGGGTATATTCGAGAGCGCCGTGGAAAGAACAAGAAGTAAGATGCTTGAAAGAAGCCAGTTCAAACGCCTGGAAAAACTGTATTAGAAGGATTACTATCATGGCTTACGGACCTTGAATATAGTTGCGACTTTCGGACCAATGTGATGTGCATCCCTTTTCCCCGATCACAAGCTGTCACAATGCAGAATTGATGTTGTCGCTCGGGACAAAATTCTCGTCATGGTGTGGAAGTATAAACCTCACAGTTTGGAGCGTACGTTGAGCTTTGAGCAGCCTGACAAGAGCGCGATACAGCGAGCGGTTGGGATAAGCTTCATAAACGGTAAGATTGGGCTAGCGGCTATCGTCTCGAGGACCGGGATCTCAGAGACAAAGCCCGCGAATTCCAGGCTGAGCTCGATACAGGTCGGAAATATGCCCCATTCACGAATGTCATGCGGAGCTATGGATGTGGAGAGACTGTAACGATAATGGCGAGGACCGGACCAAGAAGGAATCGAAGTCTGTGTCGCCGATGTCGAAGCTTGACATGAGACTTTCGAGAGCAGGCAGCGTAAGATGTCTCAAAGCATACGCGGTGTGATACAACGGTGGTCTGTACCATCCCCAGAGTCATCTCCGGAGAATCGTCCAAGTCGCAAGTGGCGAAGTGAGGAACTTCGAGAGACTCGCTGCAATACGACTGTCGTTGCCTATATTGACGAGGTCACACTCCACAAGCAGAGGAGAGCCGTGAAAGGTTTGCCAGCAGTGATTAAAGTATGAATTGTTCGAGTCGACCGAAAGCGGACATCAATGACCTCGACCGTCAGTTTTTTCAAAGATGAAAAGGGTGCCCTGGTTTGTTCCAGCTCCTTTGAGGACGGGCCGAATATTTCCAATATCTACACCTGGATATGCTGCTTCACCCTTCAGGTAGGTATCCGTGGAGAGAAAGGGAGAGAGGAAAATGTTGCGCTCGACTGAGCCAGATCTCGAAATATTTGCTAGATCCTGCGTCCTGCTTCGAAGGAAAATCGAGACGCATCGTGGTCCATAAAGCAGGCGTAGCGAGGCTCCAGAAATAGCAGGTACTGAGGAATATGAAGGGGGCGTTGCGGCTAGAAGGCATTGCGCGAAAATATCATATGATTTCGAGTGGCAACCGGGCCATCGGGTCCCGAATGGCATTGCTTGAGGTCGCGCCGAGCGATGGTCCTGCTTATTTCTAGGTCTCTGAGGATCTGCTTTTGGTTATCTATGCCAGATAAAGCTCTGCCAAACGCGCTAGCAATTTGACTTCCATGGGAGTATGCATATGGGAGATTGTCCAACTCGGCTGATGTTCCCACCGTTTCTTGACAGCGAATTCAAGCCGGAAGGAGACGCTCCGAGTTTGCTCCGAGTCGCATTTTCGTTTGTCGCTCATTCTCACTCACGTGGAATGCGGAGGGATCGGAGAGGCTTTTGAACGAAGCAATATATACGGAATACACGTGCAGGTACGATAGGTCATTCACTCTACAAATGGTCATCGGTTGTCCTCGAGATCTTGCGTTGAGCGAAAGCTGGATTTATACCGAAATGAGACGCAATGAACGGGGACGTACCGTATGCCGGTCCGAAGAGAGTTGAGGAAAGGGGGAACCGCGCAAACAGAGACTGTCGAGAGACAGTCATCAAGTCACAACATCTCACCATTCTGACTTGCATTATGGTGCACCGAAAGGTGGCGTGCAAATCCTCAATCGTCTTCGAAATTTTGCATTACAGAAACCTGAAGAAACAGTTGAGTTCGAGACGAGAAGTAGTGAACAAGTACGTACCGAATGATATTTGCACCCCAAAAAGAAAGCAACTCTCCGAAGAGAGTTATGAAAGGAAAAAATTGTTTTGGCACACAGCAGACAAAGAGTAGTCTGAATCGAGTTACACGACATGTCACCGTTCGCGAGACGGATCGATAGACGTGTGCCGCGAAGTGCACTGAAGGACGGTGACTTGGCCGTGCCTCAAGCTCCATGGTTCCCCTCGTACGCCGAACGACCGCACAAAGCCCCTCTGAGACCTGTCACGTTGCGGGTTGCGTTCCCAGGTGCTCCTGGTATATAGATCCCTGACCAAGGTACAGACTGCGAAGGGACGTGTGACCGCGTGGAGGGTTCAGCTGAGCGTGCCCCAGTCGTGTACATGCCGTGCGTGGCGTCGAGGTGGGTGAAAATTGAATCCAGGCTGGTTCGTAGACAGGTTGCTGCCATCGCAGGCGCATTTGAGCGAAGAGCTTCTGTGCGACGTTGCACAAGATCGCAAAACGATGGGGAGAGGCTGAACACGTTGTGTGCCCAGGAACCCTCCCAGCATTCTCCGAAGAGAACACCTTGGGCGCCGATAGAGATAAACATGGAAGAGCAAGGCGAAGAACACCGCCCAGTCCCCGCGACGAATTCCAAATCCGTTCTTCAAGCTCTCCCTTCGAAAGAAGATCTTTGAGACGATAAAAGAATAGATGGTTTTCTGATACGCCGCTCGACAGTTAAAGCCGGGCCCCGCTGGGGCCAATCTAGAGGGACTAGAATACTCAGACCTTGGCCCGCTCGTGAATGGGGACGGGGAGTCCTGTTCGGAACGAGCATCGCGGCCTTGAGTCTGCTGTGTGAAGGGGAGAGTTTCGAGTCACGTTGCCTTTATATGTTTGTGACGTGACGGCGTGACACCTCCTGTTCTACATGAATCATCATTAATATTGAATCCCTCAGACCTATACTCTGGCTACCGAACTCCTTGTTGACCCCCGATTTTGGAGCTTTTTCTATGAAAAATTCATCTCCTGTGTTACTGCTGCCTCGACCTTTCACACCGTCTCACTCCATACCGTCGCTTCTTTGACACACGACCGTCTTTTCTCTGACTCGCTCAAGAACGCCGCCAAACTCTTAACCCCGTTTACCTCTTCAAAATTTTGCGCTCCCAGGGCATCTATATTGGGTAAAGCCTTCAGTGAATTTTTCGAACGGTTCTCAGATGCTCCGACGAAGTAATTGACTCCAATAGCTTATCTCTGATCTACCTTTGTCTTGTCTTCTTGTGCAGCTTCCATTCGAGCCTGTTTAAGCTCTGGGAACCTACCGTCGCTGACATGCATCTGCTTGAAATTTCTGTGGCTTTCGTCCGCCTAACGGAGCCGGGCAACCGAGTAGCAACACTTGTCCATCTTTTCCCATCATCTCTACACGCTGGGCATCATGTAGGGTAGGGTTATTCTAGCCAACACAGCTCTTGGCTTTCATTAATTTCTCTGATCTGCTTGGCCATCCGTGTGCGCACCTACCCTCGCGGAGCCGGCGACACGACCCGCGGAATGATGCCCTCTCCCCTGTCGATGGTGTAATTGGAATGCGGACGCTGTGCAGCATGCTACATTACTCGTATCTCTATATATCTCAGCGCCGTCGACGCTTTCTCGATGAGTTCTTTGAATCAGTCCCCGTTACACAACGGCCACCAAGAGCTGCCCATCGGAACGGTTTTCTGTATCACTCGATAATCGCCCAATCTCCCGGAGCTCGTGCACTTCACACCTTGCCAAGCTTTGTTCCAGTTGCTATTGAATTTTTATGCGTTGCGGAAATGTATGCACCACATGGCCCGCGGCTCCGCTTTCTACTGTGCCTCGGCTGCTTCATATTCCATCCTCATTTTCACCGGTAGTCTATTCACGAGGGCACAATGTTCCGTTGCGCTTTAATTTGTGCTCGCGGTCCCCGAGGTCTCGTAGGCAGCCAACTATTGTATGTTTGTGTAAGCAGATACAAGTGTGGAGCGGTTGTTGTAAGACGGCGAACATTAGGCGCGGCCAACTCTCCCCAACGTGATTCTAAGCAAAGCGAGCTTGGGAACATTTATTACAACATGACTGAAGCTTTTTTGCAGTCATCTAACCTGTAATCCATCCCGCACCGGGTGATAATATCTCAAGGAAATGCTCAAGTAGGCGCAAACGGGTCTGCTCATTTCGTTTTTCTCCGACGATTGTGATTCAATCATCAACTTTTTTTGGACTTGTCTGATCGGACTCTCAGCGCTAGCGCTCCTCTGAATTTTCATCCTGTTTACCGACTTCACTGCGCCCACATTTTTTGACTGAGTAGGCATATCATTTTCTCTTTTCTGCGGTTTTTCCATGGGTCAAAAAAAAAAAAAAATGGTGATCTGATTGTCAATGTTTTGGGCTCGGAACTTTCCCCACTTCTCTCGATCCTGTCTACAAAAATATGTGATGCCTAGGTTGTCCTGCACCTCGCCAGTACAAGTACCGATATTCGCAACCGAGAGAAGAAAAACACGATCAACACATGCGTTTTTGATGTTGCGGGGAAGATGCGACGCGGCAAAAAAGTTCCCGCTAGCCGATTTGAACGACTGACTTCGTCATGTGTAACATTTATACGAGTGACGCACTCTACCAACTGAGTTAAGAGGGAGCTGAGCACAGTGAGATGGAGACACATGTGAGACGCCACGAGATCACCTGATGGGAACAAAATTTAATTTGAACCGGCTCATTCTCACTCTGCAAGGTATGTAGTCTTTCTCTTTCACTTTACTATGCCCAGCACCGCGACGGCGACCATAGAGTGAAGGCTCAGGTGTTCACAAATCTGGAGCGGGTACTCTACTGTCTCTCTCTTTATAAAATTGTGTTGTCTGAAGCCTTTTAAACTCCGACGGGGGATCACCGTGTTTTGGCACCGGGACGTGGCACACGTAGCGCCACGACAATCTTTGGAGGCTTTCAACCTTCTCAGGCGAAGTGCTGGGCCGCGAAGCGGCCCAGCGCGCTCTTGTATCATTTCAACCGAGCGTTCAGCCCTTACGCGTTACCTAAGTGTTCAGATCGTGTCTTGGACCAGTGCTTACCAGTGTTCATTTCGGAGTGTGAGAAGGTGATTGCTACGACCGTGCTTCAGCACTTATATCGCATCCTAATATTTTGGCACCTGTGGGTGCCGAATAGAATTACTGTACCAATCTGTATGGCTGCAACCCTGAAAGGTGCGTTACGAAAAATTCAGGTTACCATGTAGCAACCGGTTGGCTTATTAGGCACTAAACGTTGCTAAAAGGGAAATTTCGGCCCCGCAGGGCGGAAATTTTTGTGAAATGGGCCCAAATAGGCCCAGACTTTAAAACATGGGCACCGCAGAGCTTACCCGATTGGCTGACGCCGTCACGACAATCCCGGTTTCGGAAATCGAAGAAGCGGCTTTCTTCGAGCACGATGTTTATGACTGCTGGTCTTCTTGCTGCCAGCAGTGCGTCGGTTACGGCGGATTTGGCTGTGAGCGAGAACGGCGGTTTGGCTCGTTCAAGGGATGCCGAGAAGTCTGATGCTGAAGAGGAAGCCGACCCTCACCAACACCTCTTGGTCGTGACCAGCGCAAGAAAAAGGGCCGCGCTACAGGGATCCCTTTGAGAGGAGCACTAGTAGATATTTTTTCACAAAAGTTTGCGTGTTTTAGAATCACTTTTTAGCCTCTTTTAGGACTACAAAAAAATTGAGCGCTCGTTTATCTAATGTTACCGTTACGAGCGTCCTAAGCAATGCTCAGTTCAGAGGGTTGGCTGACGCCGTCACGACAGTCCCCGTTTCGGAAATCGAAGAAGCGCCTTCCTTCGAGCACGACGATTGCTGGTCTTCTTGCTGCCAGCAACGCGTCGGTTACGGCGGGTTTTTCTGTGAGCCAGAACGGCGGTTTGGCTCGTTCAAGGGACGCCGAGAAGTCTGATGCTGAAGAAGCCGTACCCTCACCAGCACCTCTTTATGACGTTCAGAGTGCACTTTTAATAAAACTGGGATAGAAATACCATTCTGCGTAAAGCCTTTGAGAAAAACTATATTAAATTTCCAAGTCAACTCCGAGAAAAACTCTTCTGGAAAAGTTTCCAGGAACTTATTTTTTTCCCGGGAAACTTTGTTGACCCGCAAACTTCAACAGTGGATGGCTATTCCAGATTCATTGCACAGCATGGCAGAGGGCTGCGAAAGTGTCTAATAATGTCGATGCTATGTGGGATGTAATATAGGGCAATTCTGGAACTAGAGCCAAAAAAAAAATTCCCAAACTGAGAAAAATTTCCCAAATTTGATTTTGCAACATCCGGAGCAAGATGCATACCTCTTGGTCGTGGCCAGCGCGCGTTACTCTGGTAGGCACTAGTAGATATTTTTCGAGTGTTTTTTCACAAAAAATTGCGTTTTTAGAATCAATTTTTAGCTCTTTTTAGGACTACGAAAAATTGGTGTTCACTTACCTCAGAGTGTCACCGTTACGAGCGTCCCAAGTGTTCAGCTTAGGGGCCTGTGTCACGCATCACGTGAATACTTGGTCGAAATGATACAGTCTCCACAGGACATACGAGGGAATGCTGGCCGCCCTTGGCTCCAAGGATGATGTGTTCAAAGAACCTGGGCTCGTAGCATTCCCCGTCAGGCCGACTCTCGACGTAAATCGTCTCGTTCTCAAATCTCAATGACCTTCCCGCCGCAGACTTCGTCAGTTGTCCACGTTGTCGCCGCCCGATGCGGACATCTACAGTCGTGGACAATCAAAGATGACAAGTCCATTTATGGACAAACCATCAATTCCAGAAGAAATCTGAGTTCAGAATCAGAATCAGCACAAAAAAAGGCGTTTTTTAAGCCCCTACCCAAATATTTTCCACGAGAAACAAGGAACGGCCAATATTTTGAACCATCTGAACGAAATTGTGAGCAGTAAACAAGCAGAGCAGAAGCACCCCAAGGAGCCACCCGACTGGGAAGGTAATCACCAGTGTATAGGATACCCAAGAATGTGTTTCTGTTGAAATTTGTGAGGAATGAAATTTGTTGAAATGCTCGAGCTCAACTTTGGGGTCACATGGGTTGATCACGAAGATATATTTGCGGGATTTATTCCGCCAAAACGGCTCGTTGTTTTTCTTGGATCCTTGCAGATTCAGAAAGTACTCGTCAAATGGCGTCGATTCAATATTTTTTGATTATTTTTGGGTAAGATATAGGGGTCCGGCCAAATTTTTCGGACCTTAAACCCATTAAATGCGCATTTGCGTGGGATTGGCTCGTGCAAATAATTTAGTTTTGGTATGGTTTAACTTCTTTTGAAGAGATTTTTCGATTCCGATGGTTTTCGGAGGTAAGGTAAGTGATCGAACTTTTTTGTCATGTTTGGTTGTCCGCGACTGTACGTGCCCGAGGCAGACGTCGAAAATCAGCACCTTCTCTTCACTCTCGCTTTTGATGTCCTGCTCAAGTCCAACCCGTCCTGTCCAAAGGATTTCAGCCTCATCAATCCTAAAGGTCGGAACGCATGGACGGAGGACAAATCAAATTTCCTTGTCAAATGGTTCCATGCAGGTATGTGTTCCCGAGACTTTTCGTAGTGATGACGTTATGGTTTCAGCAGGGAAGCGCGCTCTCCACATGGTTACTTGCCATGGAGCACCCGGAACCACCGCCCTCCCCGATTTCTTCCTCTCCGACAAAGTCAAGAAGTGGGAACGAGGAGATCGCGCAGGCGAACTCCGCGTCGCTGCAGCATCTGCCAGAGCAGTGAATGCGGATATAGACAATACCACGAAGTCAAATCGATTTTCGACCTACCTCCTCACCATTCGCGACATGTGTGGTTTAGGAAACGGAGAGGAGCAGAATGGTCGGAGAAGCGATCACACAAGACCCAGAAAGACAAACATCATAAATAAACCCTTCGATTCATACTATACTTGTTCCCGTCCTGTCACTATCTTTCATCTTTGCTTTACTACTCTGTTGCTGTCGTTGGCATTATCCAGTGCAGGTCGCATACTTGAAGTTGTCAGTATACTTATTTGTCAGTCCACTCACTAGCGAGGGACGCAGTGGTACTACGTTTCACTCGTGTTTTTAGAGCAAATAGGAAGACCAGCTGTTTGATTCGGCTAGTGGACATCTTTTGAGGTCCAGGTTCGTGTTTTACATTTTTTGAACCGTGGAAATCGCACCTGTAAGCATGCGCGTGCCCCAGGGACCTCTCTGCCTAAAGCCACCTTAGCTTCCCACCGCGCCATTACCCAGATACGTATTCTGTAACCCTTCCTCATTAGCGCGCGAAGACTGATCCACTTTGAGATGTTTTAAAAACAAAAGAGATCATTTTCGACGCGATCACCGATATGCGATGGCAACTCGTTTAAGACAGTAGCTGAGCTGGAGTAGCCACACTCGGTGCTTCGTTGGCACCTCGAATTTGAGTATATGTTCTCTCCAGCATTCAAGATATTGGGCCTGATATTCTTTTTTTTCTTTCTTTTTTTTTTGGTGCTGTGTCACTTCTTGTCTCGCGGGCCAACTTTCCTTTTACCAACCACACGGTTCTTCGGATACGTGACATACAGGTTTCAGCCGTCAAGCATAAAACTCAGGGTAAAATATTTCTTAACCTCCCACTCCAATTGGGTGCCGTGCTGCCGACCTGAAAAACACATGTCTGTCAATCAAAGCCGGGCCGTCTTGGGGCCGTGCCAACTCAGCGTCTGACCGCCATGTCAACATCGGTTCGAAAGAGAACACCGTTTCCTGCGGAGGCTTCAGCTGCAGTCCCTCTCCGTCCAATTCCAAAAACAATAATCTACCTGGAGCTCCCTGAATGGCAAAAGGATAACGAATATATCGTGTCTGGTTATCGACGGTACGACACTCTGTTCCGTCGCAAATGTGCATTTATTCGCCGACTAGACAGCAAAATCATTGGAAGGGATGCTTTACTTCGGTTTTCGCGTGTAAGCATGCAAAGAGCTCTTGCTCACGTTCTTACCAGTTCAACTTTTTAGACTTGCACAACGAGACTGGTACGCGTTTCCCTCTGGGCCGCTTTTAAAAGACGGCCTCTCACTGATTTTTTCAGTCAATATTCACAGCCATCTGTGGGGAGCTGTGTTATTTGCATATTTCTTGGCCACCTTCGAAGAAACGTACCTAAAACAATACACGGCTACAACATGGGTAGATTCTGCCGTGTTCGCCGTTTTCTTGTCCTCGGCAATTTTTTGTCTCTCTGCTAGTGCACTGTTTCACACTTCTAGCTGTCATTCTGAAGAGGTAACGCCTTCGTATCAATACTATGAATCCACCGCCAATCCATGTCCAGGTTACCTCTCGTTGCCATGCTCTAGACTACTCAGGCATTGTTATCCTCACAGTTGGTTGTGGAAATCCAATGTTTTTATGCGGCGATGCAACTTACTCTGCCACCAGGATCGTTCTATCCGTCTCTCCGTTTCGGTTTCTTTTGCCAGTCCGGATTGCAGATTTTCTACATCGTCTCGATCTCAGCGGTCGGTCTCGGTAAGACGAATCCTCAATCCTCGGTGAACCTTGTAACGAGAAAATCTAGGCGCTGCGTATATTGTTCTGAATCCAGAGTACGCCAAACCAACGCAT